TGGTTTCCATGTAGTACTGAGGCCTTAATATTTTTCTGTCCGTTTCAATGTTTAACTTATGTGTGTGCCCGGTTATTGCAATGTTAGTCCCATCCCAGGAAAGATAGAAGCAGTACAATGTAAGCACAGGGTTTGCTATCCTGGGTCCAGGATATCCATGGTGAGCAGGAGAATTCCTGTGTGCCTGCTTCTGAGCCCAGGCCATGCTGTATATTTAGCTCTACAACCTGATGTATCATACAATAACACTTTCTGGTGTCAACATGTATGCGCAGTCCATTCTGCCAGCTCCTTCATGTCCTGTGAGTGTCTCATGGCCGGTTCTGTCATTTCTCCCTCATCACACATTCCTATCCCTAGGTCTCATCATTTGAAATGTTGCACACACCTGTCCCCGTATCCCTATGGCTCTTTCTATTTTTACCTGCAGGATTCCACAGGACACACACAAACCCAGGCAAGCCCCTGAGCCCACTGCTGCACCACTGCCAGGGCTACCCATGTGCCAACAGGTGCCACAGGTGCAGGGGCAGCCTACACTTAAGCCTCATTCGATGAGAGTGATCAGAGGGCAGCAAGGTGCTTGTCAGCCCCAGTTCTAAGGAACAAATGAAATGTGCATCTCACATGTGTGTCCATGTAAATGTAAAAACCCTAGGGGTCCACAGAAGTGCTGTGAGAACCCGCCATGGTCACAACCTTGGTTTGGGCAGTGAGCTCAGAGGGCCCCAGAAGCATAGCATATATAGGTACCCATCAATAAGCACAGTGACCCCCTGAATGTGAAACTCTGCTATTCAGAAGATGAAAAGGTGGGTTGGATGGTGTGCTATCAACCCTGAGTCTGTGGAATGATGTCTTTGTCTCTGGGCCTTTCTCTGAGGCAACCTGCATGGCCTCCCCACGTGGGGGAACTGGGGCTGCTCGGGACTGAGGCCTTGCCTAGGGGTTTGGGGCTTGGACAGCCTGATCTCAGTCTTCAGGGATGTGCCATCTTCAGCCCCTGGCCAGGTGGCCGGGTTCCTCCTGAGCCAGCACTGCCCTTTCCCATGGTGGATTTGTACTGCTCTTTAGGCCTCAGCTCTCACCTGTCCCCACCCTGCCTGTACACATGAAGTAAAAGGTGGTTGGGTGACCATGTCTTCCCTCTCCAGGAGAACATCCATTCCTCGAGGGCAATGACCATGTGCAGTGTCTTCTTTCCTGTAGCCTCAGGGTTTGAAACTGGCTTGATAACTATTACTAAATAAACAAATGAGCCCAGTGGGGTGAGGCACGCCTGTGATCTTAGTTTCTCGGGAGGCTGAGGGAAGAGGATGGCAAGTTAGGGACCAGCCTGGGAGACTTAGCCCTTGTTTCAAAATGGAAACTTTTCTTTTCTTTTCTTTTTTGCCAGGCAGGTGCTTGTGCCACTGAGCTATACCCCCAGCCCAATAATTTCTTTTTTTGGTACTGGAAATCGAGCTCAAGATCTTGCGCTTGCCAGGCAGGCACTGTGATGCTGAACTATATCCTCAGCTCTTCAAAATGAAATTTTAAAAAGGGCTGGGAATGTACTCAGGGATAGAGCACTTACCCATGAGCAAGGCTCTGGGTTTGATCCCCAGTACTGGGGAGGTGGGAGAGAAAGAAAGAAAAGAAAGAACAAAGGTCTGCACCCTTTGATGCAGGATGTCTCTGAGATTGGTGCTTTGTCACAGGATGCTTTCAGTGGGCAGCAGATATATGCGAGGGGTGTCTACAGATCCTAGCTTCTTGGTGGCAATCCCCTGACAGTCCTGTGGCTCCATGCAGTTCTTGTACTGAAAGCAACATTCCTGCTCCAGTCCTGTGGGCCATGGACTGTCACACTGGCCACCTGGTTCGTCACTGTGGTTCTTCCTCTTACGAGAGCTCCATCTCCACTAGCTCCACATGACTGCTGTACCTTCTGTGTCAAGTTCCTTCCCTGCCTCAGTGACAGTGGCCTGGGCCAGCAATGACTCACACATGGCAGAGGGTATGACAGGCCATGCCCGGGAGTCTTGAGTTCTGTCTCTGCCACAGAAGCAGCTGATCAAGGACCTGTCCCACCAGGACTACTTCTCAGCAGAAGGAGCTGACTGGCACGTGGTTCCCTCCACTCACCTGAGGGCCTGGGGCTGCTCCAAAAGAAGAGCAGGGAGCCCAGCACCTTCTCAAGGGAGGGCAGCAGGGGGCTGAGCCAGCTTGTGTTCACCGAGCACCTGGCACACTCAGAGTCAGCTGGGTCCCCATGGTCCCTGTGCCTTGGAAATGTTCAATGTTCTTTGCCTAGAGAGAGGCTCTGTTCAAGCAGCAACCATGCCCACCTCACCTGCGTCCCATTCGCACCCTGAGTTTGTATTATCTTAGCTGAGTGGATGGACAAGACCCAAGGTGCAGAGTCCCCACTAGAAACACCCATCCTGACCCGCAGGCCAGTGGGACCCCATGACAGCCAGTGGAACTAGAGTCTATGCCTTGCCCAACTGCCTAGAGGTTGGGGATTTCCTCTTTTTCACCGAAGAAGTCCTACAAACCATTTGGAGCCCCGAGGGTTTGATTCACTAGAAACAAACCTACGTTGGTGTACAGGCAGCATGATAATGGAGTTTCAGCAGGGTTTCAGGCTGAGTTGAGCCCCAAGACTTTAAGGACCCTCTCCTGGGACCTCCTTCCCAACCACATTATCCAACCTGAACCAAGTTTCTCTTTTAAGAACATCATTGGTAGGGGCTGGGGATTTAACTCAGGGGCAAAGCGCCTGCCTGGCAACCGCAAGGTCGTGAGTTCAGTTCCCGGTACCGGAGAAAAACCAAAAAAAAAAAAAAAAAAATTTAACTCAGGGGCAAAGCGCCTGCCTGGCAACCGCAAGGTCGTGAGTTCAGTTCCCGGTACCGGAGAAAACCAAAAAAAAAAAAAAAAAAAGAACGTCATTGGAAAGTGCTCCGAACATTGGACTGGCGGTGTTACACCATGCCTGGCTCCTGGGCAGAGGCACCTCCTGGCTTTTGGGTCCACAAGCCAGGGTCCTCCTGGCTTTTGGGTCTACAAAGTCCACAAGAGGAAAAGCAACACTGTAATATTTTGAAACACAGAGGAAAAAAATGCAAACAACTGGTTTGACACACACACAAAAAGTAACTGATTCAGTGTGCTCGGCCTCGCTGGGAAACACAGAGAGGCAGAACTCCGCTCCTTCTATGGCACTAGTACGTGTGTGCTTGGCACATCTGTGCACTCTGCAACCACAAGGACTAATCATTTGGGGTGATATCAGCCCAGACTGTGTGAGTTCACACCCTGGCTCCTCCAATGTAGAAGGGCAGAAACTTGTGTACCTCAGTCTCCTCCTCTGTCAAATGGGATGGGTAGCAATATAACATCCATTGAGGGCTCACAACAGTGCCTGGTACTGAGGAGGGTGCTGGTGTCAAGCTCCAGTGCTTGGCCAAGTCACCCCACATCTTCTCGGTTGTGCTGCCTGTGTCAGGCGGCCCATTCATCTGCCTGCAATGGCACCCCGTCCTGTCCCCGCGCTGCATGACAGCAGCTGAGGTCATGGAGGTCTGTCCTCTGTTCCCCATCAAAGGCAGCCTGTCCTCACAGGGCTGCTGTGGCTGTCTGAACAGGGGCCCCACCTCCTAGGTGTGGGCCCCAGAGGGCCATAGTGTGGGACAATACCCCAGGCAGCTGTACGTGGACAGACAGACCCTCGTGGCTTTTAGTTGCACCACCCAGAGGAGCAGGCAGTATGTGGGAAACACAGGTCTCCTTGTTCTCTCCAAGTGGGACCCTGGCTTCAAGCAGGCGCAGCTGTTTGCCTCTAGATCCTAGTAATACAGTGGGAGGCTGCCTCTGGCAGAGCAGGGTCCAGCAGCCTGGCCTTAGCAGGCGGGCCACACGGGAGGGGGTGGGGGCTGTCACAGTGACCCCCAGGGGCAGGGAGACAGCTGGTTGAAAGCTGGCTGGCTCGTGCTGGGATTGTTTCCACAAAACTACTGGTAGACAAGACACAGTGAGGAACAGGAGAAAGTAACTGTAAAGCAGGGGACACAAAGAAACAAGAGATGCCAGAAAGGCTTTTTCTCAATCTGTGGACTTTGATGAGAGACCCTCCAGGAGCAGGAGGAGGTGGGGAGTCCAGAACAGAAGAGCCTCCTTGGCTTGCCCAGGTACCCACGCCTGCTGCTGGACCGAGTCTCCTGTCCCCTGCCAGCCCCAGCCTGGGGTCCATGCCCTGGGACTTGTTAACAGATTTCACTAAAACCCAGGAAAGCAAGGGGAGGCGGATGGATCAGAAAGGACCCACGTAGGAGCTGCCTGCTACCGCCCTGCGAGCTGGGCACAGCTGCGGGCACAGGGACCCAGACGCAGGGACGAAGGGGGGATACATGGCTGGACGGGACTCCAGTGGCCTAGGGGGATGAGGGGGAAGCAGGGGGCGGCGGAGACAGGAGACGCCGAAAGACTCTGGGGTGCGCGGTGCACCGAAGCTCAGGGTCAGGTGGGTGACACGCGGGACAGCCAGGAACACGGCGCCGGGCGCTGAAGCCCGGGAACGGGCGTGAGACCCGACAGACCCAACCACAATCCCCGCGGACCGCACGGCCGTCGGGGGTTGGGAGAGGGGGAGGCTTGCGCAAGCGCGCTCCCGCGGCCGGGGCGGGGCCGCTCTAGGGGGCGCGGACCTCACTTCCGGAGGGCGGTGATTGGGCTTGTGGCGAGAGTGCTACCAATCGGAGGTGCATCTCGGCGGGGGGGGGCGGTGCTTCCCTGACACCGCCCTCCGGCCCGCCCGCTGCCCGCGGCCCC